ATTAAGACTTTTTTCTTGTATGACTTTATTCTCGTAATGTTATGATTTTATTCTTATAATACTTTATTCTCGTAATGTTATGATTTTATTCTTATAATACTTTATTTTCATAACTTGTAGTTGCATTTTCTTTTATTTAACATCTTATTGCAGCATAAATTTCATCAGCTAAGTTGCTAAACTAACTTTTAAAAAACAAATCCTTCGGTCCGTGGTGAATTTCCAAACTGCGCTGACACATTAAAAAAATAAAAACACCACCGTCTTCATTTCTCAGTTCATTTTGCTGCCCGCGCATTGAATCCTGGGATATCCTCGGCTGGTGAGGATACATGGATGCATCCTCGGATTTCGACAGGAAGTAGGACGCATTCCGCGGCCGCGGGATGAGGAGCCTTCGAATTGGGACTGTCCTCCGCGCGGGGCAATGACGTATGCGGCCGACAAATGCGCACTCATGAGGACCCAGCCCCTGAATTGAGACACAGCCCCAATATATCCAAGGAACCCTTAGCTGTCTAACCAAATGCCTGATGTAAAAATACTAATTAGCTGTCCAACAAGATGCCTGATGTAAAATACAAATTAAAGTCTTAAACAGGCCTGAACAAAACACAATGCAGAAATACTGGGGAATTTACAACAGCTGCCCCCAGAATAGCCTTGCTATTATGTAGTCTATTAAATTCCCTAAGGTGCAAGTGAAGTCCCTGTACTTGGTCCATCATCAGGTGGAATGGCCGGTAGCTGGACCAGACGTGATACCGGCCGCAAGTAGGTCTTTTCTCAATCCGAATCTCGGCTGACCGGATCCGACCATCTGCACTCTCGATCACCTTGACAACCTTCCCGATGGGCCACTGTGCTCTCGGAAGCTGGGGATGTTGATCAGTTGTCATGATCGTTGGATCATGACAACCGTGCTCTGCATGAGGTCATCAGTAGGCCGCCTCCACTTCTGCCTGACTTGCAAGGACGGAAGGTAATGCCACAGGAACTGCACCCAGAAGTGGTCCACCATCATCTGACAGTGGCGCCAGCGTCTTCTTGTGAGGGTGTCAGGAGCGTAAGACACTTGGGGTAAGGAGGCATCCCGCCGCCCCATCAACAACATATTTGGCGTCACTGGATCAGGATCAGCTATGTCTGATGAAACATAACCTAAGGGCTTGGMGTTGAGAATGCCCTCAACCTCAATCAGAAGTGTGAGAAGGACATCTTCATGAAGGGACTGTGTGCCAGCAACCACCTGAAGAGCTTTCTTGACCGACTGTATCTCCCGCTCCCATGCCCCACCATAGTGAGGCGCTGCTGGTGGGTTGAACTGGAACTTAATCTGGTGTTTGGCAAGCTTCTCCTGTAGTTCTGGAACCATAGCCGCAATTGCCTCCTTTAACTCTCTCTCGGCTCCTCTGAAATTAGTCCCTTGGTCTGAGAGCATCTCAGCAGGAGTTCCTCTTCGCGCTATGAACCTTCTCAGCGCCAAGAGAAAGGAATCTGCATCAAGACCTGCCAGTAGATCTAGATGGGCACAGCGTGTTGTGAGGCACATGAAGATCACTCCCCATCGCTTCTCATTTCGGCVTCCAATTTTGATGATATATGGACCAAAACAGTCCACTCCTGTGGAGTTGAATGGAGGCTTCAAGAATCTCAGACGTGCTGGAGGTAGGTCTGCCATCATAGGTACTGTAGGCTTCCCTCTCCATTTGGTGCACTCAGAACATGTTCATTGATATTTCTTTACTGCTTGTCTCCCCCGTAGAATCCAATATTGCCGCCTGAGCTCTGCAAAGACTCTGTCGGGACCCGGGTGGAGCAAACGAGCATCAATGTCTTTGATCAGGAGTCTGGTGATTGCATGGCTGGAGTCGAGCACAACAGGGTGGATGTCAGTGGGGCCAGCATCCATATGTCTAAGTCGACCTCCAACTCGGATAAGGCCAGACTCCGTGTCCATCTCTGGAGCGAGTGAGCTCAGCTTGCTGCTAGGGGACACTGGCTTACCAGCCTTTAGGCATTTGACTTCTTCAGGAAAACTTTCTGCCTGGCTGGATTTCAACAGGTATACTTCRCTCTGAGGCAGACCAAGAATAGGTGCAGGCAGGTTAGCAGCTGCCCCATGAAGCAACTGGTGTGTTGCTTCTACCTGGTCTGTCCAGCTGTTGAACTGTGAGACATCAGGCAGTGGATCTGGGGRATGTGTTTGCATAAGGCCACAGAATATGGTCTGTTTGAGTTCAGAGGGATCTGCTGCATTAGCGTAGTCTGGAGCTGAAGGCCATTTGTTTGATGGCATGCGGAGGAAGGTTGGACCTTGGATCCATCRATTTGGCATGGCAAGCTCAGCCAGAGTTTTACCTCTTGTTAAGTCATCGGCARGGTTGCTGGTAGTGTCCACATACCGCCATGTGTACGAGGCAGTCAGCTCCTGGATCTCTGAGACTCTGGTCCCAACAAAAACCTTGAACCTGCAAGATTCGGATGTCAGCCAGGTCAAGACTGTGGTTGAGTCAGTCCAAAGGTAAGTCTCTCTGATATTAAGAGTAAGCTCTCGATGGATGAGGGAGGAAAGCTGCGCTCCTGTTAGCGCTACACAGAGCTCCAGACTTGGCATTGATTGTTGGCGCTTTGGGGCTACTCTCGACCTAGCCATGACGAAAGAGATGTGGACTGCATCGTTGACCGTGGCAAGATAAGCAACAGAGCCATATGCCTGTTCTGATGCGTCACAGAAGACATGAAGGATGTACTCTGTACCTTCTGTAGCAGCTTCCAGTGGAGCATATGTTCTGGGRATTGATACTCTTGCCAAATCAGGAAGTTCTCTCCTCCAGCTTGACCATACCTCAATGATATCTGGAGGGAGGTTAGGGTCATCCCAGTTCCTCTTCTTTGCCCACAACCGTTGCACAATGACTTTGGCTCTCGTCGTGTATGGGATGATGATCCCAAGTGGGTCATATTGCCTGGCAAGCACCTTGTACACGTAGCRCATGGTGAGTGTTTGGCTCTCTCAAAGCTTGACTCGGAAGCCAAGTTGGTCAGTTGGACAATGCCACCGTAGGCCTAGTGCCGGCTCTTGTGGGTCAGGGCTTTTTTCTGCCAGCCATTGCTCTGCACTCTCAGAGCAAGCAGTAGGAGGCAGATGGGTAATGACCTCTGGAATGCTGCTTGCCCATTGCCGAATCTCAAATCCACCTAAAGCGAGGAACTGCCTAAGCTTGTCRATGAGAACCTTTGCTGCCTCCAGTGTTGAGAGGCTCTGCAGGCAGTTGTCCACATAAAAACACTGTTCAGTGGACTGCAGAATGTCTTCATTGCCTTCAACATGGTCTTTAACATGTTTTTGAAGAACAAATGTAGCGCAGCAAGGGCTGCTGGTTGTCCCAAATGGAAGGACACACCACTGATAGACCTCAGGTTGCTGTTCCCGTTGCAGGTTTCTCCAGACAAATCTCAGTAGTGGCTGGTCATCAGGCAGGAGACGAACCTGATGGAACATTGCTCGTATATCCCTACTGATGGCTACTGCATACTGGCGAAAACGCAGGAGAACACAGATGAGCAATGGACCCAGGGTTGGGCCTGCAAGGAGCTGTTCATTAAGTGAGAGGCCATTGTGAACAAAGGAGCAGTCCCATACAAGACGGGCCTTGCTGTTATGGTGAATGAGGTGGCGAGGTATGAACCATGACTCGTTGGATGCTTTTACCTCATCTTCACTGAGCTTGACAACACATCCTCCACTGATGAGATTCTGGATCTCTGTCTTGTATTGTTTAGCTAGGATTGAGTCTTTCTGTGGTCGCCTCTCTGATCTACGAAGAAGGGGCATGACTGCTTCAGGTGTGGACTTGAGTGGTGGTGCACCTTTAATGCGAAGTAGTGGCGTGACGTAGCGGAGTGTATCTCCCACTTTGACTCTTTCTGTGTGTGTTTCAAGGATGTTGATAGCTTCTTGGTCCAGCCGGGAGCGAACTGCTAGCTTCTCGTTTCGAAAGGGGAGGACATCAAGCTGCCAAAGACGTTAAACATGTTGGTAGAGGTCATCTGGTGCTGGTGTGAAGGACGTAAAATAACAGGAAGCAGCAGCAGAATCCATACTGTCTGGACCCTGAAGTGCCCAACCAAGGCTTGTGTGGATTGCTGTTGGGCTGCCCTTTGGACCGAATCTCACTGGCTCTTTTGCTGTGATCAAGTGTGTGCAGTCAGCACCAATTAATAGCAATGGCTGCACTTCACTAAAGTCTGGGATTGGAAGACCCCGTAGATGGTGGTAACGTCTCTGTAATGCAGTTGTAGGGTATGACTGTTCTGCTAAAGCTAGCTGGCCTGCTGTATAGGCATCTTTAATGTAGTGGYGCTCCTTAGAGTGCTCTAGTGGGGCTACATAGAAAGAAACAGACTCACCAGCCAGATGGGCCACGTCTTGGCGAATGGTGCGCAGAGTGAGGGTCTCTGCTTTACCTTTAAGGCCCAGACGTTGGGCAGCTGCTGGTAGGATTATTGTCCTTTCAGCCCCATCATCCAGGATGGCATAGGTCTTCAGTGACCTCCGGCCATGAGTTATTAGGATGGGCACCACCTTGAGATACACTTTTCCTCCTTGCTTAGAGGTGCTGAGTGTGGCTTGGTCTCGTGGTGTGATGAGGTAGACACGTGAGTCTGACTTGGCCACATCATGTAGAACTCTCAGATGAATCTCCTGACACTCACTGCAGGGTTTCTTTAAAGTGCAGGCTTCAGGTTGGTGGCTGGTCCTCCCACAGTTATGACAGCGCTTACCACGTTCAAGCCATCTCCTGACTTCTTCTGGTGAGTGCTGTACAATAGCAGAGCACTGGGATAGATAGTGCTCTGTGCTCTTACAGAAGAGACATAGCTTCTTAWATCTTTGTGACTTGGAATCAGAGCGGGCTGCCTCTGCAGGAAGACTGTTATCAGCTTTGGGTTTATCAGAGCCGTGATAGACATTAACAGATTGTGCTCGAGGCTTTGGAGCTGGAGCATGTCTTTCTCTCCTGGAGACAGGCAACTCTTCAGGGCGATGGCGCTGTGCCATTTTTGCAGAGAGTCTTTGAGCTTCTGAAATAGCGATTAGAAGTATATTAAATATACACCAACAAAACACAGGAATACACACCCAACATCTGTCTGCTTGCCTGAAAAATAAATGGATAAATAAATAGAGGGCATATATAAAAAATATACACATACACATACATATATAAAAATATACATACATACATGCCTACATTCATAAATATTGTCCGTATACACACATAGACATATATACACACTCGGAGACCTGTCAGAACCCCCCGGATCAGAGCACCTGTTTGTGAGCGGTTGTGAACATGTGTGTATATATACAAGATTTCTCCAATGGAATATTTAATAGTGACTGTGGAGGACCGAGACCCAACCCCCAAGACACGAGGCAGACATAGGGAAGACCAAAGCCCAAGGGCCCGAGAGGAATCCCGAGCGCAGAGCCCCAAGGGGCACCTGCACAGGAAGATCCACCCACCCACCCCCCAGATAAGACCATAGGGGAGAATTGGGAGAGTCCTCCCAGTGACCACACGCACAGTCCCCGGGGCCAGCAGCGACAAACTCATGGGCCCCACCGGCACCCGCCATACCAAAGCAGATCCAGGAAAGGGCACAGAGGTCCGGGCCCCCAGGGCTCACCCCCTCCAGGCCAAAGCCCGACAGGCCCAGAGGCCCCAAACCCCAACAGGCAGTCACCAGGTCAGGCTGGCACACACCCTAGCGCCCAGCCCCAGACCCCGGGAACCCCCAGCACGCCGGCGGCCAGCCGCACACCCCACCGGGGGGCTGAGTAGCAGCGGGCCCCCAGATAAACCAGCAGTAGGGGCAGCCCAGACCGCAGCCTGACAAATACCCAAACAYACACAATCGCACCATCCCACCCTCATCCTCACCCCCACTCAGTCAAAGACATACAAGGATGCCACATTCCACTCATACCCCCGATACTATACCCCCCAGGTCCAGGACATGTACTCACCCCCTAATGGAGGCCGCACACACCCGAACACAGGAGGTAGACCCAATCATTC